ACAACGTGGATTCCCTCAAGTTGGGACCCCTTCTCCGAGGATCAACTTCTCGCTCTGAGTCGTTCTATGACGCTCCTTGAGGAAGGTTTTAGGACAGTTTTTAGGACGACTCTTCCAAAAAGCCGTCCTGAGGCAGGTTTTAGGAAGGTTTTGAGGGGGGTTCTTGTGAAAGGTTTTCAAGGGAATTCTTCCAACAAGTGTGGCCCAGTGCGCCCCCTCCCCTCAGGGGGCCGAAGTCTGCCCAAACCTGCTGTCGCGACTGCCCCACAACGCTTTGGACGCCCGAAGTGGGTACGGAAAAAATTGGTACAATGCCCAACAACACATGCTGTCCCAAACCAACAGCGGCCGCCAGGCCGCAGCGGCGTGGACAGCGAGTCCTGCTCAAAGTGAGCAGGAACTGCTGCTGGGCATTGTACACATTCTTTCCGTACCCAGTTCGCACGTGCCGAAACGCCAGGAACTCAGGGGGCCTCCCCTCCCCGAGGCCGGAGGAGCGGACAGCGCGACCGCTCCCAGCCGAGGCCCCTCGCCTCGGCCCTCCCTGGCGAGGCCCCCCCCCCCGAAGTGCCCTGACGTTGTTCGCGTAGAGCACGGGGTCCTCCTGCTCCGCAGCGCTGGGCACGTACGGCGGCAAGATCTCCACCTCCCCGGACCCCGATCGAAAGCTGGGCGAGGGCTGCTAAGACCGTGGCTGCTAAAACGGCCCTCCCGGAAGGAAAAAACAACTTCCCGGAATGAGGCGCGGCGCGCGAAACAGTCGACGGGCTTCTTCCCGGAGGAGGAGGAGGAGGAGGAGGAGGAGGAGGGAGGAGGAGGGAGGAGGAGGAGGAGGGAGGAGGGAGGAGGACGAGGGAGGGAGGAGGAGGGAGGAGGAGGAGGAGGAGGAGGAGATGGGAGGGAGGAGGAAGGGGAGAGGAGGAGGGAGGAGGAGATGGAGGAAGAGGATTTAGCAGCCCTGGCCCGGCGTCCGACCCCGCCCTCCTTGCGCCGTGGCAGGAGTCACGACGGACTGGCTGCGGCAGCGCTCGGCCGCCAGGGGGGGGGTGTCCTGACCGCGCTCCGGGGCTGCCAGGAACGACTCGGGACGAAACACTTGCCCCTGGCCTTGGGCTCTGGGGCGGAGGAGGAGGAGGAGGAGGAGGAGGAGGAGGAGGAGGAGGAGGAGGAGGAGGAGGAGGAGGAGGAGGAGGAGGGGGAGGAGGCGGAGGAGGAGGAGGAGGAGGAGGAGGAGGAGGTGGGGACTCCTGTGGCCCCATCTGTGAGGGGCAACGATAGGGGGGGGACTGGCGCAGGGGGGGATGCATCGACCTGGCATCGGCGATACATCGCCGATAGATCGGCGACAGGCCCCCGATAGTGAATCCGCACCTTCCTGTGCAGGCTGAGGCTATCGGGCCCCTATCGGCGATCAATGGGCGATTGGGGGTCGATGTATCCCCCCCTATGCCTATCCCCCCCCATCCGTTGCCCCCGAGTATGGGACAACACAAGACCTTGGATGTCTGGGGTCTCGACACCTTTGACAGGCCAGCCGCCCGGCACCTCTCGACCCCGTCCGTGGAGGCTGGGCTGCCCTCCCGAGCTCCTGTTTCGGGGGCCGGACACGGCCCCCTGGACACCGAACATGGCGAAGAGGCGTGTTCTGGTTGCTTCCTCCGAACCGCCAGGAGTCTGGGTACCAGTGCCCGTTCGAAAATGCCCCCCCGCCCCCCCCCTCAAGACGAAGCCAGGACGAGGAGAACATCGGTGGAGGGTTCTTCCAGACTCTCTGAGATCCGGCGGCTTTGGAAGATGTCTCGGGCGCCGCGGCTTTCTCAGAGCAGTCCAGGACACTCTGAGAGCGTTCGGGAAGCTCTGGAACAGATCTATCCTCGTCCTAACCCCATTCAATCCCCCTCCCCCGCCACACACACAAACATACACACATAAACAAACACACAAACACAAACACAAAAAACACCCACAACACACACACACACGAAAACACACACAAACACACAGAAACAAGCACACACACAAACACACACACAAACACACACACAAACACACACAAACACAAACACACACAAACAAACACACACACAACCACACAAACACACAAACGCACAAACACACAAACACACACCCACCCTTCCACCCACCCACCCACTCAGCCAGTCATCCACCCACCCATGCACGCACGCACGCGCACGCGCACGCGCACGCACACGCACACGAACACGCACACGCACACAATCACGCACACGCACGCGCACGCGCACGCGCACACGCACACGCACACACACACAAACACCAACACCAACACCAACACCAAAACAAACGCAATCACAAACACAACACAAGCACACACGCAAAGACAACATGCACACGCACAACAAAACAACATACACAAACACACACACATGAACACCCACATACACACCTCTCCTGGGTCCTGGAGCGAGCGCGCTCGGGCAACACCGAACAATTGGTGAAAGACCTCGAGCATCTTCTCCATCTGAATCTCCAGAAAGTCTTGCAGTCGACTTCGATTACAGAGGACATGCGAGAGGACACGAAACTCTTCCGAAGGCCACATTGCAATAAGCATGTAGAAAACATCGGTCGCGAAACACGGCACACAAGGGTACATCGTACCCCTGGCTTGGCAGGGTCGACCTACTGATCAAACTCGACTGTATCTTTAAAGTGCCCCCCAAACCTCTCCTCGGTCCTGGAGCGCGTTCGGGCCAGAATCTCGAGGCGGATGCCGCCGTGGAGACGAGTGCACACCCAGATGCTCAGGAAGGGTCAAATAGCTTCGATTCCCGAATCCCCAGACATCGGGCGAAGTCAAGATGAAGACAAATTCGGATGAGGAACAATCTGGAACAATGCGCCTGTTCAATCCGATTCATTTTCAACGGCTCCGCGAGGACCGGAAAGAGCAGAGGCCGAACGTAGCTTTCCAGCTTGAATCATCTTTTGACTGTCACGGGGTCCAGAAACAAACTGTCCTTCGTTGTCTTTTCACTACCCGAGCAGTTCAAGCTTTCGGGTCACACCTCTGGTCTCTGGCGTCCATTCGGCACGATTCCGGTCACCCCCCTGGAACGCTCTCGGCGAGGTGAAACCGCTGGAAAGTCTCCCGAGGCAATAAAACCTCCAGGCACGGACGAGACCTGCCGTACTTGCTTAGAGGGGGTGGAGACATCCCAGACGAGAGCGTCCCGAAAACCTTGGACGACGATCTGACGAACACCTTTTGCGCGCAGCCGACCGTTGCGCTCGGGAGCGCCCGGACGTCGTGGGCGAAACACATCTCCGTATCCGCAGCCTTGCGGGCCGGGCCCCTGGGCCGCGACCCTGCGGATACGGTGCGCGTTCTCGCGGATGCCCCGCGCGGAGCGTATCCGTGCGAACGCGTATCCGCGGGACCGCACCCCAGAGCCCAGACCGCAAGGGCGCGGATACGGCTATGCTTCGGTCGGGCATGTCCCCCTACAGGCGGATTTTGGATGAAAAAGGAACAATACCCCAAAAAATATTCAGACACAGTCGAAACATCGTCCCCCGACTATTTGTTTAATACTATGTTTGAAGATTCCTCCTGTAGAAAGAAGGACACGCCCGACAAGGGTATGCTCGCCGCTCGTGAGGAGGGCCGGGGCCGATCACTTCTCGGACGGCTCGGAGAAGTGCGCGTGCACGCGGCCCGCGTAGGACGCGGCCTGCGCGCAAGCGACACGGACGACGCGCGCGACGTCTGGCGCGCGCGGCGCTCGGTGCTGGCAGTGCGCTGCGTCGGCGCAGCGCGTGGCGCCCGCCTGCTGCCGCGGAGCGGGCACGGGGCAGGAACGGTCGCGCCCCGCGCGGCAGCCCCAACAGGGCTCCAAGAGAGGCCCGGAGAGGGGCCCAACAGGGACCCCAAGGCTGGAGGCCTCCCAGATGGGGTCCGAGCAAATGGGGTCGGAGGATCGCGCCGCATCACCGATGCATCGCCGATGTATCGGCGCCCTCGGCGTGGAGAAACTCCGGCACCATATGGAATCGCATCGCCGATGCATCGGCGATGTGGCGCGATCCTCCGACCCCATCTACTCGGACCCAAGCTAGGAGGAGGAGGAGGAGGAGGAGGAGGAGGAGGAGGAGGAGGAGGAGGAGGAGGAGATTCGTAGCCATTTTGGCTCAAGCCATTTTGGCTCAAGGCGGTTGGAAGACCTCAGGTGGTCACATTCCCGTTACCCTGCCGACCCTTTGCGCTGCCCATCGGGCCGCTACCAGTTTTGATCTTTGGCTCTCACTGTACAACACGAAAAGACTCAGGGAGCCAGCCTGGCACCGCAGACAGAGGGCACGACGGGGCCAATCCAGGGTCCTCTTGTGTCTGTTCAAAGCCGCACAGTGCCTGGACCACCATCACGCCAGCCCCAGACACTCATCTGGACGCATGGCCTCGCGGTCGGGTCCGCAAAAATGGGTATGTCAGTGCGGAAAGCATGTGCAGCCATGGCATTGGTTCTGTTCCTGTGGCAAGCCATATCAGCAGAGACGCCGTCAAAGAAACTCCTCTTCCCACCGTCAAATTGCTGCGCACGACAGAGCGGCGCAACAGTATATCAGCAAGGTGGCGCCCGCCTCCACGCTGGTGGCCGAGGCGCACTTCGACTGGGACAAGTGGAAGCCGCCGAACGACAGCACTCAGATCAGCGCTTACAAAAAGAGGGTCAAGGAGCGCCAGTTCACTCTAGCAGAGCTTTCCGTTGCTGCGAAGTTGGCCAACAAGTCAGATCTTGCAGAGCACGGCGAGATTGCAATGCTCGAGTATTGCCTGTCCGTTCTCAAACCCCTTGGAGACCAGCTTGCAGACGCTCGGTATCGGAAGAACAAGCTAGAACAGTTGCTCAGGGACACCATCAACAAGAGGAAGGAGCTCGAAATGAAGGAGATCGAACTCGAAGACCAGATCCAGGATGCCAGGTCAATGGAGCAGGATTTAGAACAGCAGCAGCAAGAAGAAGAGCTAGTACAAGATAACGGACCGCAGCGTGGCTCGATGCGGCATGCTCAGATGGAGGTTCAGGAAGGAGGCTTCGCGGACGGCCCACCCACAAGGAGACCGTCACCGCCGCCGCCAGCCAGAGAAGCTTCGAGGGACCCATATGGTGGACGTGTTGGTTGGGATGTGCCAGCACACACACACACACACACCTGCAGGGGCACCTGCTCCCAAGAACCCACCTGGTGCCGTACCGCCTATCAACGCGCGGCTCTCCTACGATCCGCAGCAGCAGCTCGCCATCGCCAGAGCGATTCAGGCCATGATGACTCGCCAAGACCAGATGGAGCAGTCCTTCGCCCAGTTCCAGAACACTATGGCGGCCATGCTATCGGGCTCGTCACCTCCTTCAAGGACGTCGGGGTTTCGTTCTGTTGGAGAGGAAGCTCGCCCGCCAGGTCCAGCTGGCCCCTCCCCACTGGAGGCCCCGCCGCGGTCAGCAGCCAACATCGAGGTGCCCAACACTCCGCCTGCGAAGTCCCGCCCTACCAGCAGGCCCCTTACGCCGCGAACGGCATCTCAAGTGGAGGCAGCCATCATCAATGCGGTCAATCCGACGCCTGGCTCAGAGTCCTTCGCGGATCAGCTCAGGAGGCAGATGATCAAACATGCCCCTACCGCCGCCACTGGAGAAGACTTTCCTGGTCCGGCACAGATGTGGGGTGCCCCAGAGACCGAGCCTCTACCCAGCCAAATGATCGCGCCCACGCAGCCTGTCGGCAACACTCAGGAGGACGTCTTCTTACCAGGCCCGCCGCAGACGATCACGGAGCAGACGATCAATGCGCAGGAGGCGTCGGGGCTCACCCAGGAGTTCAGAGGTCCCCACGCCAAGGCCAAGACTGGGGCACGTGCGTCAGAGGGCGGCTCGGGGGACACGCCGCCGCACAAGTCCAACATGCTGCCAAGTATGAAGGAGCTCTGAGGCATGCTGCATCTTCAGTGCCCCAGTCTAATGCACAGATCCGCACGGCGAGACGGGTTTCATTCGCCCCCTGCGGAGCAAATTTCGGTCGCCACTCTCGATGCGCGGCTGCGCCAGCGTCTTTCACATCCCCTTCCGCTCTCTTGCTTGCAGTCATCCGCTTGCGCCCCCCGTCATGCTCACGTCGGACAATCCACGTCTGAGCGGCAGGAGAGCAGTATAATCCCTGCAGGCATGCATTTCGCTTCTATCGATCAGCGAGACAGGGGTAGTTCTCACAGAATTCATGGACAAGGAAGCCTCCAAGCGGGCGGGGGGCGCCCAGCTGCTGAGGCCACAGAGCCCACGCCAGGTACCTCGCGGCCGCTCTCTGTGCATGACCCCGCCCCCTCTTCGTCTGACCAGGTTGACGACCCCACCCCGACGGCCCCCCCCCCCCCCCTCCCAGTTGGTCAGGGCTGCTGACTTGGGAACATCCAATCAAGGGGATCTGGCTGCGCGTTCTCTGGTCTCCGCTCCCATGCCTGTGCTTTGTACTTTTCCTGTTCTTCCGCCACTCAGGGGGGCTCTTCGGCAGGACGAGCCACTTGCTCTTGAGCAGCTCACAGTCACACGACTCGAGGCAACGGGGGTCCTCGAAGATGAAGCCAGGCTGGGTCTGACGCTGTGCCCGCCGAGAGACGGCGCGTGGCACTACGTCCGCCTGTATACCGACGGCTCGCTCTTCACCAAAGGGGGGGGGGGAAGGGGGCGTGGGCAGTGGCAGTCATAGGGGGGGATGGGGAAGGAGAGTCCTTTCTTGGAGCACTGCGCGGTGACATCACTAGCGCCGCTAGCATGCGACTTGAACCATGTGCCAGCACGAGTACCACAACTGAGGTGGTTGCTTTAACGTACGCGTTGTTTTGGATCGTGGGCAATCGGCCGAAGTGCCGTGTCAGCATCTCCTCTGGCTCATTGCTCGCCATAGGAGCCACGCAGGGAGGGAAGGTACCTTTGGCCGACAGAGCAGTTGGTGATTTCCTTCGTGCCGTGTTTGAGTATGCTCAGGGGGAGGCGCACTTCGACATTCGGCACGTTAAAGCACACAGGGGACATACTTGGAACCCACTGGCGGATAACATAGCCAAGGCTACAGCGTTTGGCAAACTTTGTGCCCCCCCTGAGCCCCCCCCGACATCCCGTTGCGGCTTTTCAGTACCAGAAGTCCCGTCAGTGGGGGAGGGTGCTCGCACGGGGACCTGACGCCTATGCCTACCCCGAGATAGGCTGGCCGGGCGACGGGGCCACGCTGCGAGGTGCACCCCCGCAATTTCGGGTCGACCAGGCTACTTTGTCGCGGTGGCAGTCCACGCCCCCCTCACACAATCTTAAAGTTCAAGTACAACTTCGGGTTGCCACCTTCAATCCTCAGAGTGTGCGGGATGCGCATCGGAAGGGGGAACCAGGTCACCAGCGATTTCATCGGACCAATCTGGTGAAGGAGCAATTCCACGACATGGGGGTGGCCCTAGTAGGAATACAGGAGTCACGC